TTAAAAAGTCTTTAGTTCACTTCTATGTCCCTGGAACAACACAGACGACTTTCTGTTGGACAGGTAACCTTTAATCCAGCGGAGAAGGCCATCCTCCAACATCCATTCTGGCAATTTTCACTAATGATTACATGTCCGGTTGGCTACATCAAAAGCGGATTTAAGGTCAAGGAAGGTAGTGTATGAGCTGTCAGTGTGCAGAGTGAGAAAGGTGGTAATGCAATGATGCACACTCCTTCCATGCATGAAGCCATGCAACCAGGGAGACAAGAATTGCTTAATTCTGTGTATAAGACGATTAAGAATCATCCTTTCGAATGTTTTACACAAGCAGCTAGTAAGGGATATTGGGCGAAATGAGTTTTGTTGATGGGGCTTCGGAATGGGAATAATGAGGCTATTGGTCCATGATTTAGGGAGCTCCCCAGTGACATAACTCATGTTATATAATTCAAGTAAAGGATTTTTTTTATATTTTATTTAAAAGTACATCACAGCACATAAAAAAATAACAAACAGGCTTTATCTGCCAACAAATGTAATAAACTTTCCATGGCCATATAATACCACATACAGATATAATAATTATACATCATGTAACAAAAATTATCTAATGAAAACACCAACAGTAACCAAAGTAAGGAGAGAATTGATACATACTTCCGTACTAACGACAAAAAAAGGAAAACAAGATATTCTGTACTATGACTAAACGTCAAAGGTACAAACCCCAAAAGGGCACAGTATGTTACATACCGTAGCCCTGAAAACTAAAACCCCCCCCCCTTCCCTAGACAGAACCCCCCCTTCCTATACAAAACCCTCCCCCTATCTGAAAAGTACAAACTTAAAATCAGACCCACAAGAATGCACAATAAATTAAGTTAACCCTAACACATCTATAATGCATATCCAAAAGTATGAATCTTACGACACGTAAGAATATGAAGCATAAAAAACAATGATACATCTGTTCCCTAAATTTTGTAATGGTAAACGATATAACTGCCTCACGACCTTACAAAACAAACTACAAGGCAATAAGTACATTATGTAAATATAGAACAGTTTGATTTCTAACATTGGCTAGAAAGTATTTCCTATAGTCAAATTACATTAACAAGATCCGTCCAAATCATAATCACACGACAAACGATGCTGTACAATAAAATGGAATACACCTACCACACAAAGTAATTACGAGGGTTTTTTATACTCAGAACAACACATTATACATTATTAAAGGAAAGCAACGTGGTGTATAACAAATGGCAACACACATGGTAAGTATATAGACTGCATAAAAACCCGTGTTAAAAAACCAACACACACAATAACACACACACACAAGCACACTCATATACGTCAACATAGACATAGGTATTAAGGGAATCGACGACGAAAAATCCCAATTACATGCAATATCATATATTACATGTAATAGGAAAACACGTCTTACAAATACCAATGTTTGGGTATACAAGAAAAAAAGGCATCACATTGGAGAATAACATACAACATTGGGGGACATACATACAACATTAGAGACATACATACAATTAAACGCAGCTGACCAGCCCGTAAGATTACCACTGAGCAAACAAAAATTTAATCTCAAATCCTTTAACTCTAACGCTCTGTATGCAGACGGAAATCTTTCTCCCATCTCCCCTCATATACTAACTGATTTCGACACTTAGTTCTAAGAATTGTTCCCGCTAAAACCCGGATTCTGCTATTACCTTCAACATGTCTCATAGCCCATGACACATATATTAATCGGCTACGACATACGACACTGCACTTCGTTGTACACAGATGTCGACCCCACCCACATCAAAATCAACGCCCTAATTACAGAAAAACCTCCCCCCCCCCCTACCATTCGTAAAACCCTGCTTAACCACGCACGTACTATACCTAAATTTTCACAGAAATACACAACGTGAAACGCGATTCGTCCTCCCCGCACACTAAACAACTCCGGTCCTCCTCTACACGCCGATTAGACAACACCACCTTGGACGGCAGAATCCCGTGCAAAAAATTTAAAAAACCAATTCGCGTACTCGGGGAAAGGGAGATGTAACTGATGAACTCGCTTCCATATATCACACCACGCGTACATGGGGAACATTCCTTGAACTCTAAACTCAACTTTCACCATGCCCACTCTTTCCAAAGTACTCATTTTAACGCTCCGCACGTTCGCATGCACAGTAACACACGTAGCATCGTATCGCATTGATTACATCTGCCCGTCTCCCCACCTGCGCAGGTCACGATACATTTCTGTTAACCACCATGCCTGCCACCCAGTCGGAGAAAACGACGTTTCACATAAAAAGCAATGACTCGGTCTCTTAAAGGAACAAGACCTAACCCTCCTTGACGCATTGGTGTCTCTACCCGCTCTTGTGAGCCAGTCGCACCCTGAACCCCACAGAAATCTATAAACTCTATTTAAAAGATGTTTGATATCCCCCTTTTTTTAGTGGATACAGCGCAGCAAACGTGCCAAACTTTACTATAAAGAAGAACTTTTAATTACTATCGCTCGCTGGTGTAGGGTTAAATGTCGTGGCCTTAGACTATTTAAACGCCTCAAAAAAATTATTTACCACCCTCCCCGAATTACATGCCCTCGTCTCATCAACCTCTCTCATATACTGTATACCACATATAGTAACACAGTCAACCACCGTCCACGTCTCTATACCTACCTCCTCTCTCGCCCAATCTCCAACTTCATAATCTTTGATTTTTTTTTTTTAACTCGCATTCCTGTTGCTCTACCAAATATATCTACAAATCTTTCCTACACAACTCAACTGCTCCCTCGTACGTACTAGGACAGTTGTATCATCTACATAACTACTATGGCAGGTCGATCACTACTCGAACCCCACGACGAATCTACACCCCGCCCACAAACTGTCCAATAAAAAGGGTCCTGCATGCAAGCAAAGAGCATTTGAGACATGGGGCATCCCTGTCGAATGCCCTCTATTCAATTTGACTAAGTCTCCAAACTTCCCATTAATTTGTATCTAAACCCAGCACCATTATACAAAGAGCGGCCCACATGATCTCATTACCAAAACCCTGCCATCTCATAAACTTCCACAGCACACCCCTTTTTCTACACTATCAAAAGCAGCTTGCCAGTCTAAAGCCAAAACACCACCCCCGCCCCTCGTTCCGCATTCCTCGACAAACTCCCTGATATGCCCATGACCATCATCATTGTCCTACCGGGCACGCCTAACTGACCCTTATGTATTACCTTGTCAAACACTTTTTTAAATCCTATTCATTAAATTCTTGCATATAATTTATAATCACTACACATTAGTGATATTGGTCGGTAATCCTTGAGTGATAGGGGTATGTCACTTTTTTAACTAACACCAAAACCGCCGTACTCTGAGACAAACCTAAACGACCCCCCTCCTTCATCGCATTGAGTAAACGTACCAGAAAAGTCCGTATGACCTCCCAATGTTGAATATAAAATTCACATGGAATGCCATCAATACCTGGCGCCTTACCCTTGCACTTTCCCCTGAAAAGCCTCCCACACCTCAGCTTCAGTTATAGGCCCACCCATGAGAAAAGCGATCATTATCATTCAACTCACATCGTACATTCTGCCCCCAAATTCCCGTATTGCATCCACGCTTACTTCTTTTATTTAGCATTTTGATATTAAACCATTTATCAACGTAATAGCTTATTCCTTCAGTTGTTGTTACAACCTGACCCTCACTATACCCTTCAACGCCACCTGAACCACTAAACTCACGATTTCGGTCGCCTTCCTCCTTTGTGTCTGACTACGTAAGACACAAACGGACGGCTTAACACCCCACACAGCCTCCTCAGCTCCACTCGAAATACGCGCCCATCAAAAACCGTATTTTTCAGCTTCTGGATGTGGTCTTTTAGATTGTCAATCTCGTTCCAACAGGGTATATTCCAGATACCTCCCCTTGCGCATAACAGTGCTGTAAAGAACCTCCCGGTAACTCAAAAATCCATACTCCCAATCGAGAGGCCTCCTTACCCCGATGTACATAAAAATCTTAATGCGAGGCTTCATAACCTCGTCCCATTGGGCGCACTAATCACTACCTTCCAAGGAGTCTACTCCCATAGACGTCCATAAGTGCGTGAAGAGTGTCTTATTTTTCATCACTTTGAAGTAAACGAGTATTTAAAATTCCAATATCCTTTAAAACGAGTCGGAGACCTCTCCATCGAGCTCTAACGAGAACACCGCGATGGTCGGAGAAATACACAAACTAACACACGCACTTGGTTACAACTACGCGCCGAGACCCCATTAAACCCTGTCTAAGCGCGCAGCATAGTCCTTACGCACGAAAGTGTGCTCAATCCCTAAGTCACTGCTTCCACTTACATCCACCAACCCCAGCCCAGACAACAAATCACCCAAAATAATCGAACAATAACCCGCTCCCCCCCGGTTTTACGTCTTTACGGCGCACCACACAGTTCCAGTCGCCACCAATACTGTTATATCAGGCAGAGATCTCAAATAGTACACAAGAACGTCGTTAACAAAAGTATTTTTAATATTAACATCATGTTCAGCTGGCCCATATACTCCTACAAAACCCACCCCTTGAGTACCCCACTCACCTATGATGCGTACCACGCGACCCCCCCCCCTTCCTCCCAGTGTTTCATCACGAACGGGCTGGTCGCTTTTATTAACACAGCTACACACCTTTCAAACGGCTCGAGTGAGCCATATAAACATCATAAAACCCTCTATCGCAAACGAACTTCCAACTTTATGTTATTTCTTGCACGAAACATACATCTACTGCAAAGCGATGCAACCACTCAGTACCGCACTTGCCTTCTGTTATTTTTTTATACCATTAACATTTATGGTTATACACCTAACTTTGCTAACGGTGGCCCTTTTCCCCGAGGGCCACCACACCCTTTTTCCCTGTTCGTTGACTAACGCCAAAGGCGCCACCTTTACCTTGTACATTCTTGTTATATTACTCGCTGTCCTGGAACCACGCGACGCCCCACCCGTGACTTCCGACCACGTCTTCTTCCCTGAGCGCTGTCCAGGGGTCAAGACATCGTCGGAGTCGGGCGGGGTAGCCGCACGCTTCCTAGAAACAGCATCCTCAACTTTATCAGGACCTGTTGTGCAAGAAAGGTATAAAATACCGACAATATGAAAGTTAAGACACATGTGCAACATCTGGATATCTTTATTGTAGACGTTTCGCCATCCAGTGGCTTTATCAATACAGATTCTAGGACATAATAGGAAGACAGTAGAACTATATACAAAAGATGAGGTAATCAGTCCCTCGGCCTTGGAGTTAGTGTTCACAGCATCGTGGTGGAGGAGAGTCTGGAGGAAAGGCAAGAAGACTGGCGTTTTTATAGGCATCAGTGGAAGGGACGCGCAGCAGACGAGGGCAGTCACTGGTAGGCGGGATTCCCCAGTGGAAGTAGGTCCTTCCCAAAGAGATGGGTTAGTTGCAGCAGCCGTGAAGAAGGTCTTGTAGATGTCCTAGAATCTGTATTGATAAAGCCACTGGATGGCGAAACGTCTACAATAAAAATATCCAGATGTTGCACATGTGTCTTATCTTTCATATTGTCGGTATTTTATACCTTTCTTGCACAACTTGTCAGACACTGCAACATCATGGAATCTTGGTCAGGGACATCTACAAGACCTTCTTCACGGCTGCTGCAACTAACCCATCTCTTTGGGAAGGACCTACTTCCACTGGGGAATCCCGCCTACCAGTGACTGCCCTCGTCTGCTGCCCGTCCCTTCCACTGACGCCTATAAAAACGCCAGTCTTCTTGCCTTTGCTCCAGACTCTCCTCCACCACGATGCTGTGAACACTAACTCCAAGGCCGAGGGACTGATTACCTCATCTTTTGTATATAGTTCTACTGTCTTCCTATTATGTCATAGAATCTGTATTGATAAAGCCACTGGATGGCGAAACGTCTACAATAAAGATATCCAGATGTTGCACATGTGTCTTAACTTTTATCAGGACCTGTAATGTTCTCCTTGTGAACTTCTACCGCAACAGTATGAACTCTCGGACCTTCTACCTCACTCACGTTAATTAACTGATCGACGTCCTTTAACTGTGGTCTCTCCTCATCTGAACACTCCAACGCAGGCACACACGGCACAGAATCATACTCCTGCGAAGCTAAAAGGTCGCTCAATGTCGATACAATGTTAGCGTCCATGTCAGCATCCTCTCTTGCTTGAGGGCTCTCACGTCCACCATATTCTACCATATCGTGGTTGACCGTACCAGTAGAGTCACGCAGGATGACTCCACGGGCATGGCCCGATCCACCTCATCACTCCACGATTTCAGGCGCGGTAAGTCCTCGATTACTTCATCTGCCAAATTCCGTCGAGGAGCCTCACCATCCGGACGATGACCACTTCCTGAGGGCGCTGGCGCTTGACGCATTGTGAGCAATGTGGTTTCCCAAAGCTCCACAAAGGCGACAAGTTCGTCCTCTGACCAGGATACGTAACATACACCTGGGTACGGAACTCCTCTAGGTTTATGTACGAAGGTATTGGTTGGCCGCAGGGACATTTTTAACGTAAACGACCCTTCCTGTAAACCAGCAAAGCGGCCATCAGACCACCGACACATAGTAACCTGGTGGATCGTCCATAGTATTTGAAGGCGTCACGTATGTCAACTTCGTTAGCCTCAAAAGGCACGTTTCGCACACGAAACCCCTGTATAGTAATGTGAAACGTCGTGCAACTTAAAATGTGACTGCTGGGGTTACTTGCTTGCTAACATCCTGAAACTGGTTGACAATCTGCTCGTAGGTCTTGGTATCGCAAAACTTGACGAATACCGTGATAGTCCTTTTAAGGCAAAGCCCACACAGGGATTCACGCTGGATGCCATATACATCGCAGATGATCATCGGCACCAACACATTAATCGATGAGCTGGGGATCGTGCCCTTTATAAGGTCAATACACACAGTATTAACTCTTCTTCGATAACCCGTCGCCATTGTTGTTGTTGTCTCAAAGCTCCTCCACCAGGTGTCGGGACTGAGGAGAGACAGCTGACGACCGCTCAGCACAGCGTCTGAGCAGGGAATGTTAATGCAATGATGCACACTCCTTCCATGCATGAAGCCATGCAACCAGGGAGACAAGAATTGCTTAATTCTGTGCATAAGACGATTAAGAATCATCCTTTCGAATGTTTTACACAAGCAGCTAGTAAGGGATATTGGGCGAAATGAGTTTTGTTGATGGGGCTTCGGAATGGGAATAATGAGGCTATTGGTCCATGATTTAGGGAGCTCCCCAGTGACATAACTCATGTTATATAATTCAAGTAAAGGATTACCTGGTACTCGACACATCAATCTTAGTATGTTGTAAGTAATACCATCCTCACCAGGCGACGTGGAGTTGCCCTTAGTTTGTGCTGCATCAAGTTCATAATTAGTGAAAGGAATGTTGCAGTCATCTGCCTTGCTAAGCATAAAGCAAACAAGTCTCTCCCTTGCATCATATTTGTCCATTAATTTCGCCTGTGTGGTACTGGGAAGACTGTCATAGCTAGATGTAGCAGCCCAAGCACTGACTAACTCATTCGCCCTATGCAAGGGATGAGGGTGCACGATCTGCTCGGTTCTGTTACCCTTAATTCTATTTATGTCCCTCCATGCCCGGCTAAGTGGGGTGTGAGCAGGACACCATTGACAAATTGTTCCCAGTCTGTTTGCCGCAGCTCTGTCATACGCTCTCTGGCAGCAGCAAGGGCAGTTTGGAAGAGGCTCAGCATTTCAAGGGTACGACCTCTGCCTATGATGAGGACGGGTAGACGTCTACCCGTCCTCATCATAGGCAGAGGTTGTTTTGATAAGGACCTGCCTCGCATGGGCCAGTAGGCCTTCTACAGTGTTCCTCCATTCTTATGTTCTTATGACATTCCTCAGGTCACGTGCGTCACATCTCACTCTCCGCCTATATATATAATGTCTTTCTATCTCTGTATGTTAGAAGTGATGAAGGTTCCAGGACCGAAACGTTTTCTAATAAATATGTTATAGTGTTTGCTTACGTGTCTTTCTAAACCAACTTGTCGGTATTTATTACCAAGGTTTATACCATAGTGTATAGTGTATACTACAGTGGCTCCCTAGCATATTGATGATAAAGGCTAAAGTGTCATTTGAAAACAGGTGAATTTGTAAATGAAGTGATAAGCCTATAGAGGCGGGTGCCAGAAGTCGCCAGAAACTTACCACAGGTCAGCTGTTTCTAATAATCTTCCTGGCCTGCTAGTGTACTCGCATATAATCTAGTGATACCAGTGAATAGCAGAATACAGTGTTGTAGTAGCAACTAACCAGTATTATAATGGTACTTAGTGGAGTGGAGTGACTTTCATTAGTTTCTTTTTTCTTGAAATACCAGACGTATTCTGTGAATTTCATATAACCTGTAGTTACCAGCGGTCGCAATATACACAACGAGAAGCAATTTTACTACAGAAAAAGCGTTCCTTCCTCCAAAATTTTCCACCAGTCAACTATAGTGATAATATAGCATTTATTGTGGTGGAGACGGAAAAAAAATAGAAAAGCTAGATACAGCGATTGATAAACAAGGGTTGAGGTCGACCGTTCGTCACTGTAGGAGCTGCCAGAAATCACCGGTTTCTTCAACACGCAAGTTATACTTTTGTATCAATCAAATCACATATTACTCGGGTAGATAATTTCCAGTAGATCCTTCATGTGTTAGCTCAAATCTACCGACCAGTATGTTTTAAAAAGTGACCCACTGATCAGATCAGATCGACTGGTCCGAACCCTTGACTGGTCCGAACCTTGACTGGTCCGAACCCTTGGACTGGTCCGAACCCTTGACTGGTCCGAAACCTTGACTGGTTTCAAACGGTTTCGTTGGACAATAAAGCAGACTGTAAACGGATGGGGTTGTAGGCGCCCTTATAAACACAAACATTAAATATAAATCAGGAACATGCACGGTAAGCTGTCCAATATACAAAACAGTTAGAAACAGAAATACAAATAGCTAGAGCTTCATTTAAGGAGGTTATTAATAGAATATTCAAGAGGTTGCTAGTAGAATTGCAGTAAATCAACCTTCAAATCATTATGAAGCTGTTTTGTAGCTGTGGTCAGTAAAACAAAGGGGTTCCACTGGGTAAATTTTCATTTTTGTGGAAATTGGTGTCACCCCCCTTGGAGATATCCAAGAACTACTACAAGCATAAAAAAAACCGGGAAGGTTTTTGGGTATCCCCCAAATGAGATAATCTGTGGACTAAAATCAAAGGGTTTTAAAAAGAGGACAACACAAAGGCTTTCATAGAAAACTGGAAGCTTTTACAACGATGGGAAACAAAAAAAAGTTGGGCTGAAGGGTTATCCCTTGATACTGGGCTGTAGTCAAAAAATGTAAGGTGGAGTGGTCCTGGTAGTTCAGTAAATGGGGCTGTGTGTGTCCGGGGGACGTAATGGTGAAGTGGAAGTGCGTCCCGGGGACAGTAATGGTTTTAAGCGGAGATGCTTCCCTGGGAACAGTAATGGTGAAGCTGGGATTTTTTTTTTGGTAGTCGGAATTTTACGAGGAAGGAATAATATAAATGACCCCATAGGGGAAAAGGGGCGAATAGTGGGAAAAAAGTGTAGTCAAAAATAAATAAAACCCAAAATTGCAAACTGAAATACCGCAGGAAATAGAAAAAAAGAGGATCCACTAGCAATAGTGGGGTTTAATTACCAAAAACAACGGTGGGAGCTCCATTGTTGTGCTGGGGAGGATAAAAAAGTAAGACGGGGAAAATGCACCAACGGGGAAATACAGTCACAAAAACCCCAAGGCAAACGGAAAACCCCAACCTGGCACATACTATGCCTTGGTATTGCTGGCAGGGGAAATTTGGAAAAACAGATGGGACGTGAATATGACCACCCTAGAAAATGCCTGCCCTATGAAAACAAAAATATGGATGCCAGGTTACAACCAAAACAGATGTGATAGAGTGAACAGGCAAAAGGGGGGGGGGGGTTGGGGCCTGTACATTGCAAGTCATTGTTTGCACAAACTGTTAATGCCCAAAATGAGTATGGAAGTTTTAGCAGTAAAGGTCGGAACCAAAACCAGTCTTTGTGGAAGTTCAAGCCCCCGGATCAAACACCACAATTCCAGGAACGCTTTTTTAAAAATTACCACTGTCTGGAAAATCTTCCAGCTCCTGCACCAACTCTTGTCCGGGGGGATTTCAATTAAAGGGCACTAAAATGGGGAAATATAGAAAAATAAAATTTTTTCGTAATAAAAAGGGAGGCGCTCTGTGAAAATCACACTACACGAGCTTTTAAATTTTGCACAAAATTCAATTTAAAAACCAGCAATAATAGACCTCTGATGGAAAAATAACTAGCCCTCTTCTTCATAAAAATGAGATCTGAAAAGAAATGTCACCAATCAAAAAACAATATACTCGATCACAAAAATAATTGGGGTTTAAAATTGTATGCGTGGAGCCCCAGCCCGGGACAAAAGTATCCGGGGGGAGCATTCACCAAATTCAACTTCAATAACAAAAACAAAAGTGGGCCCAAAGAAAAACCAAGTCCAAAACCGAAAAAAGCTCGAAGATTCTAAGCAACAAGCCCCCCAATTATCCCTGAACAGATTAACTCGGTGGCCCCGATGTTGCACAAGGCTTTTTCCCTCTAAGAAAAAGGAGGAGTAGATGAAAAATTTAAAAAGAGACAGGCGTCCCTTTACGGCACGGAAAAGAATAACAAGCGGCTAAAAGAGGTAATTATCTGAAATGCGTGGGGAAAATTGGTCGAGAAATAGCAAGCATCGAACTAAAGCTAAAGAATTTATGGGAGTAGGAATCGCGGGAAGAACTAAAAGCCATAAAAAAAATCGAAAGAAACCCCAAAAAATTTTTTTCTCCCATGCCAAATCAAAATCGAGAACAACGTCCCGTATTTGGGCCCCCACTTAAAAAATGGGGGGCCTAAAGAGACAGCAAGGGAAAAGAGTGAGTACTCAAGTCCCCAATATGATCAGTTTTTAGCATCGCTAACCAAAAGAGAGTCGAAGATCAAAAAATTTTTTATGAGAGAAAATAAAATTTGTTAACACAAGCCTATCTGATGTTATCCTACGCCAAAAGACTTCGAACAGGCGATAAAAAAATGCCCATGCACTCTGCCCCAGGGCCACACTCATGGAACTCCGTGTTCATCAAGAACTGCAAAAAGCCCCCATCACGAGCCTTTTCCCTCCTATGGAGAGGGGGGCATGGACACGGGGGGGCGTCCCACAGTTACTAAAAAAAAAAGACATAGCCCCACCCCAAGGGGGGAGTAAAACAACAGCAAAGAACTACAGACCAATAAAAAACAACATCCCCTATCTAAAAATCTTTGAAAGG